TAGAGTGCACCTGCCTGAGGCCCTGGGTTTAATTCCCACCAACATGAAATAAATAAATATATAAACAAACAGGCATGGTGGTGCATGCCTATAATCCAGTGACTCAGGAGACTGAGGCAGCAGGATCCCTAGTTTGAGACCAGCCTTTGCAACTTAGTGAGGTCCTAAGCAATTTAGCAAGGCCTTGTCTCAAAATAAAAAATAAAAAATATTGAGAATGTATTCAGTGGTAGAGTACCCCTGCAAAAAAGAAAAAAGACAAAATTGGGCATGGTGGTGTATACCTATGATCCCAATAATTGCCTATGATCCCAGTAATTTGGAAGGCTGAGGCAGGAAGATTTCAAGTTCAAAGCCAGATTAGCCAGGCATTTAGCAACTCAGCAAGACCCTGTCTTTTAAAAAAAATATTTTAAAAAAGGGCTGGGGACATGACTTAGTGGTTGAGTATCCCTAGGTGGTTCAATCCCTGGAGAAGAAAGAAAGAAAGAAAGAAAGAGAGAAAGAGAGAGAAAGAAAGAAAGAAGAAAGAAAGAAAGAAAGAAAGAAAGAAAGAAAGAAAGAAAGAAAGAAAGAAAGAAAGAAAGCGAGCGAGCAGGAGGAAGGAAGACAAAAATAACAATTTCTTGACATTGCTGCTTCACCAACTTGTGATCCATGTGATGGTCAAAAATTCACTCAACTGTGGGGAAAAAAGGAAACATGGAAGAAAAAAAATTGAAAGAAAGAAGTAATTGGACTCTTAGAAATTGGATTCTGGGGGCTGGGGTTGTGGCTCAGAGGTAGAGCACCCGCCTAACATGCGTGAGGCACTAGGATAGATCCTCAGCACCACATAAGATAAAATAAAACTATTGTGTTCACCTGTAACTAAAAAAAGAAATATATTTTTTTAAAATTGGATTCTGGATACACTTTGAGGCACATAGCCAACAAAGATGGCATTAAAATTTTGACCCAGACAACTGAAAAGATGGAATTGTTACCCACTGACATGGAAAATAGGACAAAGAAGAGGTGTCTACCAGGAATTCAAGGAGTTTGGCCCTGGATATATTAATTTTCTGGTGAGATCCAACTGGCCATGTTAAGTAGGCAGTGGATATATATGAGACTTGAATTTGGGAATAGGCCTGGAATGAAGCTACACATTAGAGTCAAAAGCATGTATTTAAAATTATAGAACAGGGATTCCACCTCTTGAGTCCCCTTCTTCCTCCGGGAGAAGTCTTTTCTGCTGTCCTTTAATAAACTTCTAATTTCTACTCTGAAAAAAATAAAATAAAATAAAATCATAGAACAAAACTGTGAGCAGTGGCACAGGACTAGACTATCATTCCAGAGACTCACTCTGGAGGTTGAGGCCAGCCTCAACAATTTAGTGAGGCCTTAAGTAATTTAGCAAAATGCTGCCTCAAAAAACAAAAAGGGCAGGGATGTGGCCCAGTGGTAAAGCATTCCCAGTACCAAAAAGAGACAAGACAGAATAAGGTCATCAAAGAAGTGTGAATAGAAATAGTTTGAAGACCAGTCAGTAGAGGAGCAGGAATGAGAGCAAGAAGGAAGGAGGGAAAAAAAGAGATACTAGGGAATGAAAATAACCAAGGTATATTGTGTGCATGTATGAATATGCGTAACAACAAATCCCACTATTATGTATGAATATAATACACTAAAAAAAGACAAATAGTAATAATTTTTAGAAAAAGTTTGAGAACTAAGTTTTGGTAAAATCTAACTTTTATTTATTTATTTATTTAAGTGTGTGTGTGTGTGTGTGTGTGTGTGTGTGTGTGTTATTGGAGATTGAACCCAGGGATGCTTAACCACTGAGCAACATTCCCAGCCCTGTTAATTTTTTACTTTGAGACAGGGTCTCGCCAAATTGCTTAGGCCTTCACTAAATTGCTGAGGCTGGCTTTGAATTTGCAATCCTCCTGCCTTGCCTCCCAAGTCACTGGGATTATAGGTGTGGCTACTTTTAGATTATGCAGGATCTGTGGGAGAACCAGAAAGGAGGCTGAGAGAGAAGCAGGATAATAGGAGGAAAACCAGGAGAGAATAAATAAAAAGAGATTTAATTAAAAAAAAAAAAAAAAACACGGTCTTTTTATTACCCATGGTCACTTCTTTCTGCGTCAGGTTTCTTGTCTCTAATTTCCAGTGACTTCATTTGACATCTCCATCTGTACTGATTTTATTAAAGTCACAGTGATCAAACATGCATGTACATGTATCAGGCACTGGGCTAGATGCTAATGGAGCTCACCATATCTTACCATAGCCAAGAGTGTACCATATTGCCCTGTTATCTCTGAGACTCTCTCCTATTGCATCCTTGCCTTGGAGCTTTTTGTAAACATCAATAATTGGAACCCATCGTTTTCTCTCATTTGTTAACTCTCTGGAATCCCCTTCCCTGTTCTTTCCTTATTTTATCTTTTCAGCTCACCTGAAGTCCTCAGCAGTTTTCTGATCCCGCTCCCACTTCCTCCCCTACTTTGTATACCTCATTCTTTCTCAGTATTTATCACACAACTTTACAACTGACTTTTTGGTGTACTCCAACCTGCTCTACCAATTATTAGTTCATTTTAACATACTCTTCCTCCACTCACACAACCCATTCCAGCAAAGTCTCCCCACAGCTTCAGAAATTTTTCTCAACCTTATTCAAATTGCTGTCCTTGATGAAGAATGTGGCAAACCTGCCTTCCAGCTACCAGCCCCCTGGTCTTTGATCTTTCACCCCCGAGACTCGCCCTAGACCCAAAGAGACCCTAATGGGGGCAGGGGCATTCATCCAGGCTCTTATGCAAAGAGGCTTCAGCAAAGAATAAAACTTCTCCTCGTGCCTGCCTTTTAGAGAGATGCGGGTAAACTCAGATATTTGGTGGCCTTGACAGCACCCATTTACTAAACTGTACTGATTGAGAAACAGGAAGTCAAGTTTTTCTCTCTTTTTTTTTTTTTTTGGTGGTACTGGGGATTGAACCCAGGGCCTTTGTGCAAGTGAGACAAGCACTCTACCAACTGAACTACACCCTCAACCCAAAGTTTTTCCCTTTTAAAAGATTTTTTTCCCCTGTGCTGGAGATCGAACCTAGAGCCCTTGCACATGCTATTATTATATTCTATTTCTAATGAGACAGTGACCATCTACTTGAAGCACAAATCATCCAGTTCTATTCACTTTCTCTCTGAGGCCTCTATTCTTACTTTTTTTTCTAAAGGTGATAGTTTAAAAAGACAAAAGATTACACAGTATAATATCTCCTTGGTTTGAGCCCAACCACACACCTACTCTCACAAAATGACATCATCGTTTGATTGTAAATGAAAACCAGCCTGTGAGGAGGGAAGGCCAGCAGTACTGGGTGGTGATCCAAGTCCTACTGCTGCAGGGGAGGGTTAGAATCATGACTCAGAAAAAATACATATTTGGGTTTTGCTTTGAGGAGTGGAAGACAGGAAAAGAGCAGGAAATCTTAGGTTTCTTGAATGTTGGATTCAGGAATGGGGAAAAAATGAAAAGCTATAGATTGTTACTTTTGTCCTTAAGTATGTTAGTGCTGAGACTTAATTCTGAAATTTTTGTTTGATAAATATACTCCTCATCCCTAAAATTGTAAAGTAGGGATGGAGATGATGTTGAAGGACATGACAACATTCCCAGCCTAAGGGGGAAAAAACGAAAGAGTCAAAGGCGAAGAAGTCTGAGAGGTTTCTCTATACCTTCTTCCTTCCAGTTGGACTGACTTAGAGGTCAGTAAATCTCATTTTATATCAAGAAATGTCCCTAATTAAATAAGAAGCTGGTGTTTTTATTCTATCACATTCACTGTATTAAAATGATAATCATACAAAAAAATGGTCATTTCAAACATGGTTTGGAGCACAGGCTCCTCATGTAGCACAGGATCTATGAACAAGCCACCATTACATTATGTAGATCACTGAGAGGACAAATATGAATCACTAGTATATCTTCTTTAATTCCTACAATAATACAAAAGTGATTTATCTTTATTTACAGATGAAGAAATTGAGACATAAAAGTAAAATGAACCAAGATTCTAGCGAGTAAAATGTATATAAAAACTAATTTAAAATCTTCCTGTAGGCTGGAGCTATAGCTCAGTTGGTAGAGTGCTTGCCTAACATGCATAAAGCCCTGGGTTCAATTCCCAGCACAACATAAATAAATAATTACTTCCCGTAATAAAGGTAGATAAATGTTTAACAGGATACTAAAGTGTCTTATGTGAGTAGTTCACATGTCCTTTCCTCTGGTTTTTGTTAAAAACCAACAGTCCTGAAGGAAAGACTTTTTGTCTTTGGAAGAGCTAAACAACACTAGAAGGAACTAAGGTGAGTGGTGTAAACAAGCACCTTGTTTAACATAAACTAATCCCCTTAGGCAAAGCATTTTAATATTTTATTCTCCCTTTAGGGTAAATTAAAGGAGAGAATGAAGATAGGTTGAAATTTCTAGAACTTGGAGGTGCATCTTTGATTTAAAGGTGGAAACACTGTGAACCTAAAAGTATTTAATCGCTGAATTTGTTTACAGATTTTATATATATATATATATATATATATATATATATATATATATATAGAAGTTTATTTTATACATATATATTATGCTATA